GCCCTTGCGTGGAGGTGGTAGATTTTCCCACAAATGTTTTAAAAATTAGACTGGAGAGTGAACCAAAAAAGGGATTGGATTGATGGGTCACCACTTCAATTATTGAGTTAAACCAAAATTGAACCATGACATCATAAATATTAAAATTATATTTAAGAAAATGGAAATAAATAAATAACAAAATAATAGAATTTTCAAATATCACTCACAAATTCACAATATATAAAATTGTAATTTGCAATAATAATGTGACATCTTATTTTAGAAGTCCAAAGAACACAATCTTGAAACTAAAAAGAAAAACAAAAAATAACGCAATAAATTACATCTTGCTGTACATATCAAGATATCACCATGTATATATATATATATAAAACAGTAGATGTTTAGAATTCCAAAGAAAATGTGATTCAGTGAGTGAGGTTTCAACAAATCAATTAAAGAGAGAACACTAGGATAAAATAAAGAGAACCCAATTGAAAAGGATGAAGACACACACCTTGAGGCAAAGCGAAGGTTGGCTAGATCTGCACACAAAAGGAGGCCCTCGCCAGAATCCTCACCGGAATCCTTCGCTGTTCTCTGTTTTAATAATAATAATAATAATAATAATAATAATAATAACAACCAGAAAGAAAGAAAGAAAAGAAAGAATAAAAGAAATGTTAGAAAGTATCAACAAAAAAAAAGTCCAAATATTTTAGTTCCATCAATCTGGTTGGTTCGCTTGTCGAACCGTCAGTTATTCCTAAATAGGTCAGTTTCAAATTTGAACGATTTAGAAGATATATCTAAACCAAAACTCTGATCAGTCGACGGTTCAATTGGGTCCGATTTTTAAAACCATGATTGGCACTATGAACATGTAAAATTATAATAATAAAGGCACTTGGTTCATAAATCCAATTTTGAATTTTGTTTGGGCAAAGGTTCAAGTGCTCAAATATTTTGTTTATAAGGATAAAATTAGATAAAATAACCAAAACACGCCTGTATATATATATGCTCTATACCCAAACCAAACCCTAACATCCTTTCTCACAAAACGTTTCTCTCTCTCTCTCTCTCTCTCTCTCTCTCTCTCTTCTCTATCGTCACCAATCGTCACTGTCTACCCCCACGCCTCTCTGTCTATTTGTTTCTCTTCTCTTACTCTTCTATCTTTCTCTCTCTCTTACTCCTGGTATGGATTAGCAACTGCTCCGGCAACGATCTCTCGTCGTTGTCGTGGTCTCTCGTAGTGGACAACTTCAGATCTAAGCGACACCGATGAGGCACAGTGTTCATCTTGTTGCTTCTCTCAACATTCTCTTGATGCCTCTTCTTCTAATTCTCAAGTTCTTCACGCTTTTGTTCATGTTCTTATTTATCTGTCTACTTTTGCTTTTCTTCCTCCTCTCTCTCGGCCTCTGCTTTTACTGCTATTCTTTATGCCATCGCTCTTGGAGTTGAACTAGGGTAATGTAGTTCGAAGGTAGGGAAAATTTCCTTTTCCTACCCACATCCATTGAGATTCAAACAAAGTAACATGATAGATTCAACAAATTAGAAAAATAGAGATGAATGTTGCATAGAACGCACAAAGAAATGCAAATATGTGTATATGTATGTGGGTGTTGATTTTTGACCACACAACCAAATGTGGAACTCAGTAGGAGAGCACTGGCAGAATAGATTAAACCCGAACAACCTGTCACAGAACGATAAGAATCCGATGGTGGTTCGTCCACCCGGGGGCGCTCCGACGATCAAGTCAGTAATCAATATCTCTCAAAGATAACAAATAGTGCTTAACTCACTAGACAGAACATAAAAAGCTTACATTAGACCCACGAGGGTGCCTTATCTTTATAGCCAACACTAACCTGATCTCTGTAGAAGCCTAGCTTCAATGGACTTTGACTCAATGCTAATCTTGGACTCCAAGCTAGATAGAGATAAACTCCCTAAGAGCTTTATCTTTATCCAGACTGAGGTCCTCCCCTATTCTAAGACTCTCGTCTCTTATCTGCTCATCTCGGATTCGGATATCTCCAAAGATATCCTTGGCCTAGCCGAGATCATCTCGCACATGACCAAGCCACGTGGCACTCTGGATGACACGTTGGCGTCACCTCGGTCACGCGCTGTCATTCACAAAATATGCCCCACAACTACCCCTTAGGTTCTATTACCTCGGCAATCTGAGGTGATGGAACCTACATTGTCTCGTCAGTCAAAGTTCGGTCTTTCCTTCTACGGCTGAGATCATTACTCTTCGGCTTCGCGTTCCCAGGATTCTACTGTTCAACTTTCCTAATGATCAAGAACCAAGAACCAAGAACCAAAAACCAAGCTCTGTAACTGAGATCGTTCCTCTAGCCGAGGTTGTTGCCTCATTAAATCAAGAACTCCAAGAGTTTTGTTTGTGCATGAGCTGTCACGTACGGTTTTCTCAACCGTTTCAGCCATGCGTCCTTCTCTTATTGATTCGTACCTGACATGCGCCATCTGGTTGCGTCGTGTCTGCCACGCCGCCTGACAGACACGTCGTCCAAGGCATTTTATTATGGTTTGCCACCTTTTCGAATTTTTAACAAAAACTCTTACTCTCTCTCTGCCTCTTCACTTTTCATTCTTGCATTCTCGCATTCTCCCTTAAGTTTTCTCTATCTACTAAATTTCCCTCAAACTGCCATTGTCGTCCTTTCGAGTTTTCTGCGATCACCTGAGTACTTCTTTCGGCGTGCGCCTTACCGTTGGGTTCTAGTCAACATCGTCGTTTGACTCCAGCGAACTTCTCTCCAGCCTTATTCAGTAAGTCTATGATTTTGTTTTTTTATAGTTTTAGTCTCTCATTTTTTATTTTGCTTCAAATCTGCCATCTATGCATATTATTTGTTGCTATTCTATCTCCATCTCCATGTTTTGACCATCGTGAATCACATCACAACTTGTTCCTGAATTCAAATGTGTGCGTATTGCTTCTGGTCTTTGCACATTGCCTTACACACACTTTACTTATTGTTCTGCAAGTTGAATACTTTTCTTTTTCTTGAATCTTGGCCACTTTCTTGATTTTTGAATCATGCTCTTTTTTTCTGTTTTTCTTGTTGTATTTCCAGATTTTTGCCTTCAATTCCTGTGCCTGTAGTTCCTAGGTTTGGGATTTGCATTAGAACTTTGTTCTTTAGGAAAATCAAAACAAATACCCTCTTAGACTTCAAGAACACTTGCACCAGTGCCTGATTAGGATTAAGCCGAGGTCTTTAAACCTATACCAATCATTCTGTCGTCCAATCCCTTTACCCTGAGACAATGGGTATGTCCAGATAGAGGGTTGACACCCCAGAAAAGCTCAAATATTTTAAGAGAAAGTTTTCTATCCCTGCCAACGTCCAAGTTAGGTTAGCCAGTGAGGAGGACTCCATCATGCCAGATGGAGACTCCATGCCTTTCCCGTTGTGGTTTTTATAGAATGCGGACTTTGGCTTCCCTTAGATATTCTCTTCAGGGAAATCCTTCACTACTATAAACTCAACCCGATGCAGCTAGCCGCCACCAATTCCTACAGGGTTATTAATGGTATAATTGCCCTAGCTTGCCGAGAAAATGCTACGATAACATTGCCGACATTCAGTATTGTTATACCATGTGTGGCCTAAAGTCTGAAAAAGGCTACATTTACTACCTGAAACCCAGATCCGCTGTATACAAAATCATAGCCGACCTCCCAGACTCCAACAAGGGTGCTAGAGATGATTACCTTATCACCTTAAGCAACTAGGAGTTTGCTTTTGATGATGATCTTCATCTCTTCCCCCTGGGCCGATCGGTGTTTAAAGAGGGTGATGGTAAGAACTGAGTCATCCTTTAAATCACATTTCCGTTAGGACTTATCAACTCATATATCTTCGTCTAAATACTTTTTCCTTCTTGCTCTTTTTTGCGGTTCTTCCCCATCCAGCAAAGGACTTTTGACAAACTTTTTTCCCTAGCAAGGACTTGAAAAAGCTGCTCCGCCTGCCCATCGATAAGCGCAAATCCCTCTACTACTTAATTATATTCCAATGTACAAGTCGGTTTTGCCCGACGTCCCTCGTAGAAGTCTAACGCCACCGTCAGCCTCAACCCCTCCAGTCACTTTCTCACCAAGAACTGATCAGGCTTTCTCTTCTGATTTAGTCGAGTTGCCATCGACATCTACGCCTCAACTTATCCCAACGTCCCAACGCTGACGACGAAGTCGAGCTCCACCAAATGTCCCTGGCAGTAGAACCCGAAGCCACAGACGATGCGATTTTGAAGAACCGACATTTGACCCAACAAACCCATCAATTTCTTTGCCAATAATTCATTTTGGTACCAAAATTACCATTGCTACAATTGCCGAAGAAATAGGCTGCAGCAAAGCCGTTGTGGAGGACCTCTTGGCCGATCTTCCAGAAGTTGTCTTCGTTCAGTCTTCCCCGTCTCAATCCCAAATCCCACCAAAGCCAAAAAGGGTGAAGATGGCTAAGACAAAAGCCTCTATCACCCAAGTTGATACAGAGGATACCCTACCAATTTCAAAACTGGCTGAAGTTGAGAAGAGTGCCTCCAACGCGGAAAAGAGGTCTGCCAAAGACCAGTTGTCCAACATCTCACGTTTGAAGAAGCCGAGGTCCCAAGAGGCTGCAAGTTAAAGCTCTTTCAAAGCCGATGACCCCTGAGCTTCTGCCATTACGATCGGCGATCAACCAATCAAAGCCGGCAATAGTTCCATTGACAACATCGAGGTCGGTGTCGCTCTTTCTACCGCTGTCCTTCCGCCAACTGATCAAAGTCGTATGGCCGAGGTCACCGAGTATGAAAATTTTGCCTTAATGATGTAGCACTCTATTCTGGTAAGTCTTCAACTCTTTGTACTTTTTTAGCTTTTATTTTAAGTTCTTCATGTTGCAAAAAATTTTCTAACTTGTTCACTCCTTTTCTTCTAGGTGATCTAGTACACTTATTCCTTTGCAGTGAAAGTCGAGGACATGACGAAAGAATTGGTCCGCAAGAGCAAAGAGGCTGCTGGTTTCCTTGCCTCCCTTAATAATGCCGAGGCAAAAATGAAGATGCTGCTAGATCAAGCCGAGGCTGCCAAAAAAGCTCAAGACCAAGCCGAGGAGAAGGCGGAGGCTACCGAGGCTGTGGCAGAAGTTTTCAAAGCCCAGGTGAAGGAGGTTGAAGCAAAAACTGCCGAAGCCCAAGCAAAGCTTCGAGATGCCTTAGCCACGAAGGAGGCCGAAATCAAAGCCGCTGATGAGAAGGCTTTCTCGGAAGGGCAGGCTGCTGTCTGTGATGTATACAAGGCCCAGGTTATCCAAGCCTATAACCGAGGCTTTCTTCTCAGCTGGTCGGCGACCCTAGACAAATTGTCTGTCCTTGGGAACTCTCATTTTTGAGATACCAACCAAATTCAATTGCCATTTCCTCCAGCTCCCAACAATTCTGAGGACAAAGCCGAAGATGAGGACCCCGAGGCTGATGACGCTGACAAAGGGGAGGCTGCGATTGGGGTCAAGTCCCCTACTCTAAATGAGCAAGTCTTGGACTTCACTCAAGATGATGAGGACGAGATCTCCAAAAGCACCTCTCCTAAGAAGGCGACAACTGAGGCCGAAGTCCAAGCAGTCGAGAAGAGCTTGGATCAGACTCTATTTGAGATAGATGCTGAGATAGCGACAGAGAAGGAATCCTTACTGCCAACCGAGGCACAACGCCAATAGTCGAGGTTGAGCAATCTAACATAAATGCCAATGCTTCCAGTACTTAGGGTTTTTTTTTTTTTCCTCTTGTACTCAGAACTTCTCTTTTAATTGTAACTTTTGTAGTTTGGACAAGCAATCTCTTAAGTCAGGCTGAAGTGCCCTCTTGTGTTTAAAACAATTTCCTTTATGAATGTATGGTTTTTCTTTTGGCTAAGTGTTGAATGCTCTTTTCATACATGTCCACTACTTTCTTTTTTGCATTTCTTCAAAGTGTACCTTAACTGTATAATAACTTTAGGGTAAAATACCTCGGATATAAACCTTGACTGTCTGCCTCGGCCAACCATTGGAGTACCTCGGCTAACACTTAAAAATATTAAAATATTTTTATAAGTGTTTATTCAGTCTAGCATTGCTTTTCTGCCTCCATATACTATCTTCTATTAAGACTTCATCCTTTCCAAGCTTTGACAACCCGGTTAGTTACCTCGGGTAATACATATCTCAGATACTTCATTCATCGTTACCTCGGTCAACTCTAACCTGTAAATTTTTCTGAAATTTCAACAAGTGTTAAGCCCATTCTAAAAATTCCAACAAGTGCCAAGCTCTCAGGCTTATTTATCATCCTTGCTCCCTACCCCCTAATGTGAACCTAAGTTCCACTTAAGTTCACATTAAGTGTATGCCAATGGTCTTTCGCCGAAGTCAATTTCACACAAAGATTTCCTGAGGTGTTTCAACCTTGGTTTCTCTATTAATGAACTTAGTTCTCTTCTGAGTTTGACTCTGTCGATATGGCAAGTCCAAGTTAATTTCAACTTAGTTCAACTCCATTATATGCAAGTATAATTCAACTATGCCATATAATGAGTCTAAGTTATTAGTCATGTTTCATTTAGAAACATCGCCAACTTAGTTTAACTCTATTATATGCAAGTATAATTTAACTCTGCCATATAATAAGTCTAAGTTATTCGTCATGTTTCATTTAGAAACATCGTTAGCTTAGTTCAACTCCATTATATGCAAGTATAATTCAACTTTCCCATATAATAAGTCTAAGTTATTCGTCATGTTTCATTTTGAAACATCGTTAGCTTAGTTCAACTCTATTGTATGCAAGTATAATTCAACTTTGCCATATAATAAGTCTAAGTTATTCGTCATGTTTCATTTAGAAACATCACCAGCTTAGTTCTACTCTATTATATGCAAGTATAATTCAACTCTGCCATATAATAAGTCTAAGTTATTCGTTATGTTTCATTCAAAAACATCGCCATGGGACCGGTCAATCCCATCATACAAATTTCAAATTCATCAAACTAAAATCTTATTATTACCTCGGCTAATAAAATTAAGACATAAACTTCAAAAACCAAAAATCTAATGATAGAAAAATTTCAAGTTACAAGTGTTCTAGGGTCTTGGCAACTCTTTTCCATCACTGTCTTCAAGTCGATATGCCCCATTGCCGGCAACCAAGATAATTCTATAAGGCCTCTCCCAATTTGGGCCAAGCTTGCCCTCTATAGGATCCTTCTTGTTGCCGACTACTTTCCCTAGCACATGGTCCCCAACTTTGAACTCTCTTGGTTTGACCTTCTTGTTGTAAGCTCTGCAAGTTGTTACTGGTATGCCCCCAGTCGAATTGCTGCTGCTCTCTCTCTCTTTTCTCCTCAAGTAGGTCTAGATCTCAGGCTAGAAATACCTCATTAGTACCATTTTCCACTCCCTAGGTTCTGATCCCTGGAATGCCGACTTCTAGTGGGATAACTACTGCTTCAGTGCCGTAAGCCATGGCAAATGGAGACTCTTCCGTTGATCTTCTCGGCGTGGTCTGATATGCCCATAGTACACTGGGCTACTTTTCCACCCATTTTTTCTTTGCTGCTTCCAGCCTCTTTTTCATCCCATCCAAGATAGTCTTATTGGATGCTTTTGCCTGAACATTACTCTGAAGGAAACTTGGAGTAGAGTAGTAGTTCTTGATTTTGTACTTTGCACAAAAGCTTTTGATTCACTTACTGCCAAACTGTGTGCCATTGTCTGCTATTATCGCCCTTGGAATCCCAAACTTGATGATGATGTTCTTCCATATGAAGCCCTTCACATCAATATCTCGAATCTTCGCAAGGGGTTCAGCTTCTACCCATTTTTTGAAGTAATCTATTGTTATTAGCAGGAACTTTCTCTATCTAGTTGCTTGGGGCAATTGTCCAACAAGATCTATGCCCCATTGGGCAAATGGCCAAGGGCTAGACACAAGGTTCAAATCTACTGTTGGTTGATGAATCAAAGGTGCAAACCTCTAACACTTCTTGCACCTTCTGACGTAGGTTTCAGTATCCTTTTACATGTTGGGCCATTAGTACCCCTCAATAATGGCCCTATAAGTATGCGATTTGCCCCCAGTATGGCTGCCACATATCCCTTCGTGTATTTCATATAAGAAGTCTTCAACTTGGGAGGGATGCACACACCTCGAAAGGGGACCAGTAAAAGACCTTCTGTAGAGATGTCCTTCTGTTGTTAGGCTAAACCTTGCTAACTTCAGTCTGGTCTTATACGCCTCTTTGTGATCATTTGTCAGTTTTCCATCCCTAAGAAACATCACTATTGCATCCATCCAACTTGGACCCATTTCCACACACATTGCTTCATACTCTATGATTAGTGGTTCCACACTTGGGCCTGACAAATAATCAACCATTATTGTCCTTGCCTCATATTCTGCTTCATTATTTGAGGCTTTGAACCCCAAATGGATAGACTGTTCTAGCATTTGCCCATCTGGTGATACCAACACTGCTCCTGCTCTTGCTCATTGATGGTTTGAACTCCCATCAACAAATAGGCGGAAGAAGTCGCCAATGTAGCTATCACAGGGCTTGGGTTTTTCTTCTTTCTTCTGTTTTGCTGTGGGGTTTTTCATTTCTAGCTGGGTCTCCTCTTGTTCCCTTGGACACTCTAAGCCGTGGCTCACCGGAGCTCGACATGGGATGGCACTAGGTGTGAACTCGGCCACAAAGTCAGCCAAAACCTGGCCTTTGATTGCCGTTCTGGGTCTAAATTCTAAGTCATATTGGCCCAATATCACTACCCACCTGGCTACCCTGCCTGTTAGATCTCCTTGCTGTAACAGGGACTTCAAGGGATGCTCAGTCAATACCACAATCTTGTGGACTAGGAAATAATGATTCAACTTTTTGGAAGCCATCACTAAGGCTAGTGTCAATTTCTCCAGGGGCAAGTACCCGGTCTCTGTACCTGCTAGGGTTTTACTCACATAGTATACTGCCCTTTATTCTACCTTCTCTTCTCTGTTTACCACTGCACTCATTGCATGCTCCCAAACTGCCAAGTATAAGAACAGTTCCTCTCCAGGTACTGGATTTGAAAGAACTGGAGCTGTGGTTAGGTATTTTTTCAAGTCGGCCAAGGAGACTTCGCACTCCTTTGTCCACAAAAAATCTGTGGTCTTTTCAGTGAACTAAAAAATGGTTTACACTTATCTGAATTTCTGCTTATAAACCTATTCAGGGTTGCGGCCCTTCCTGTTAGCATCTGTACTTGTTTTGCTGATGTTGGGCTCTTCAAGTCAAGGATGGCCTTGATTTGATCTAGACTTGCCTCAATGCCCCTTCTAGTAATCAGGTATCCTAGAAACTTACCAGAGCCAACTCCAAATGCGCATTTCGAAGCATTGAGTCGGAGCTGATATGTTCTTAGAATATCGAAAACTACCTTCAAGATGGCCAGGTGATTCTCAAGTTCTTTGGTCTTCACAACCATGTCATCAATGTACATTTCCACTATTTTGCCAATTAGGTGCCTGAACATCTTGGTCACCAACCTCTGGTAGGTTACTCCTGTATTTTTCAACTCGAAAGGCATCACTCTGTAGCAATGCAGCCCTTTTGGGGTGATAAATGCAGTTTTCTCCTTGATGGTTGGATATATTGCTATCTGATGGTATCCCCCATAAGCGTCTAGGAAGCTCATCATTCCATGCCCTGAAGTGGCATCTACTAATTGATCAATCTTGGGGAGTGAGAAGTTGTCTTTGGGACAAACCTTATTCAGGCTAGTGAAGTCCACACAGACCCTCCACTTCCCATTCTTCTTTTTCACAACAACTGTGTTTGACAACCAAGTTGGGTAGTTTACCTCCTAAATGGCTCTGGCCTCCAACAATTTGTCCACTTCCTCTTCTACTGCCTCCACATGAACAAACATTGGCCTCCTTGCTCACTGAATGAAAGGTTTAGCTGACCTGTCTACATTTAGTCTATGGCAAGTGACCTCGGGATCAATGCCAGACATCTCGTATGGCGTCCAGACAAACACCTCCATGTTTGCTGGCAAGAACGACTCTAACTCCTTTTCCTCCTCCTCGGCTAAGCCTGAGCCGAGAAGGAAGAAGCGTTATTCATCTCCTTGCTAGACGAGGATTTTCTTCAAAGCTTTCTCGCTTTTGTCGGCTGGCTCTTTACCGACGTCATCCAAGACCTCCATGTCTTCGTCCTCAATTTCTACTGTTTCTGGCTCTCGCAAGTTGCAGGTGGATTTCATTGCCGCCATGGGGCAATTCTTCGCGTGGACTTGATCCCCTCTGATCTCCTCAATTCCATGCTCTGTTGGAAACCTCAACAGCTGGTGCAATGTTGAGAGAACAATCCTCATTGCGTGCAACCATGGCCTCCCTAAGATAACATTATAAGGAGAGGGGGTGTCAATTACTATGAACTCTGTGCTTACCTTCTTGGTGCCTACTTGCACCTCCAAATTTATTGCTCCCAGGAGCCATGTCGGTATTCCATTGAACCCGATCATTGGGCTGTTAGATTGCTCCAAATCATTTCGGTGAAGGCCGAGCTCCTTGTAACATCTGACATACATGATCTCACAAGAGCTGCCTTAGTCAATCAGAATACGCCTTACATGGCATTCTCCAATCTTGAGGGTTACTACCAGAGCATCGTTGTATGGATGTTGTACCATGTCTAAGTCTG